AATTTAATTAAAAAAAATATTTTTTTTAATTTTATTTATTAGATCAACGATGTTCTTACACGTCATATGATACCAGAAAGCAATCAATTGTTTTATATTTTAGAAGATATTGATGCTCATAAACGATCTTACTAGCAAAATGAAATTAAGTCTCATTTAGCTTTATCAGACGAATTTCAATGATGGTAAATCTGTTCTCTCTGACTCTAACTATCAGCACATGAATACATTGAGTTTTTGAATGTTCTCATCTTCTTTATTTTTAGTAATCGCTGTTTTGATTGTGGTGAAGTTTCAAATATCAAAAGTCTTCTTCATATTTCATCTGCAATTGCTACTAATAGAACCGGTAAATTAAAAACAAGTTTTATTTTCTTCAATAGTTTCTATGTATTTTTCCAGTAGAAAAAAATCTTTTTTGTTTAATTAGTTTTCAAGTTAAGAGTAAAAAATAAGTAAAATGCAATGTTATTTAATTTGATCAGGATTTGTAGAATTTTATGAATTATTTTGAAAAAAATCAAAATAATTATTTTACTTTTATTAAGACTAAAATAATTTTAGTTCTAATAGAAATAAAAATATAATAATCTTACTGAAACTATTGAGAATGAAAATAATGAAGATTTCATTAAAGTTGAATAATATATCCATAATTAATGTAATAGGATTTTATTTTTAAATAATATATAATTTTTGAATTAAGCTACTTCAAAAATATTAGAGAAATTTTGTTATAAAGAAAAATATCAAATAAGTATTATGAATCGATATGATCATTGTAATCAAGGTCCTTTGCTCATATAATATATGGAGTATAAGTAACCTTGACCGCGACTAAAAACGCACGTTTAAAAAAATCGTACACATTAAGGCGCTCATGTACCTTCATGTATATAGACAACCGGTATCTCATAATAAATAACTTACTTCTCTATCTTATTGTTTAATTATAACTCAGTTTATATACATATATATTTATTATCAACACACAAGTGAATACCTTTCAAGTTAAAGAAAATATGTATCAATCAAATATATATATATATATATATATATTTGAATATTGTTTCGAATTAAAAATAAAATTAATCTTAGGTTTTATTTTATATAATAATATTTATTTTAGATATAGAAATCTATTATATTAATCCACAAAAAGAATATTTAAACAAAAAATACTAATGTCAACAATAAATAATAATACATCGTTAAGAACCAATACCTTTAATAGGTATATCATGTGGATTAGCTGGTAATATTTATTCACAAAATGATTTGATCTTGAATCATTTACTGCTCATTTGCTCAATATGGATAATGATGAGCAACTTCTTCAAAAAACTTCTTCGTGCTAGTTATTTTATGTCAAATCAACAATGGGATATATCTGAAGCAAGTTTTTTTAATTTATCAGATGCTGAAGCAAGAAGTATTGATCCATGTTATCGTTTGCTTATGTTAAAATTTGTTCATGTACTTGATAATGCTGTATATAGTGTTGAAAAAATCAATGGCACAGAAACATTAGCACATATTGGACAATTTTCAACAGATCATGCAATGACAATAACTCGTATGAGACCTGAACATGGATCAAAATTTCATAGACCAAATACATTATTATATAATACATCAGCACGTTTATTATATTATTTTAATTTACAAGGTTCAAATGTATCATTAGATGTTACTTGTTCATCATCTTTATAAGCTTCACATATGGCTGTATGGTGTCGATCATTTAGTGCCGATGCTAATGGTTATGCTAAAGGTAAAAATTTCAATTGATTCATTTTTATTTTTAAAATAAATTTCAATTTCAATTGTTCAGGTGATGGTCTTGGTCTTTTATTATTAAAACGATTAAGTGATGCTGAACGTGATGGAGATCGTATACATTATGTTATTCGTGATGTACTTAGTGGTCACGATGGAAATCAAGATAAAATAAATTTTGTTGTATCGTCAGCTGCTGAACAAGGACGGTTATTAGAAAATATTTATTCAAGAAATAATTCTGATACTCGAACAATCTCATTTGTTGAAGCGCATGGTACAGGTACACCAGTTGGTGATCCAAGTGAAGCTAATTGTTTATGTCGATTTTTTAATCGATCAAATCTTGATCCACTATTATTATTAGGTTCAATTAAAAGTAATTTAGGACATACAGAAGGTGCAGCTGGTATTGCATCACTTATTAAAGTTGCGATGTGTATGTATCATCGTGGTATTACAGCAAATATGCAATTTACTTTGCCTAATTCAAAAGTAGACGCACAAAAATATAGTTTACATATTCTTCAAAACTTTCTACCTTTTCCAACACTTTCAGATAATGAAAAAATAGCTATTGGTGTTAATTCATTTGGTATGGATCGTACAACAACATCTGCTATTATTGAAGAATATTAACCAAATAAAACATCAATTGTAAATGGTCATATCGATGAAAATCATATTAAAAGCAAATAATATTTTATTTTTATTTTTTTCAAGTAAGTTCTTTTTGCTTTTTATTCATTAAATAATTTATTTCTTATTCAGCAAAAGGTCGTCAATCTCTTAATCATCAGTTAATGATATAGATGATGATGATCAAGTTTTTCTTCAACGTATATCACAATAACTTCTTCTTAAAAAAACAATTAGTTATCAACATTTAGCAATCTTTATTTGTCTTAATCGCCAATAATTACAAGAACAAATCAATGCTTTTCTTACTGAACAACCATCACCAGTCCTTTCAATTATATCATGTCCAACAAAATCATTATCACAGAAAATATGTTTTGTTTTTAGTGGACAATGTCCACAATTATATGAAAGTGAACCTTTATTTAATAAATGGATTCATTTAATTGATGGAGAAATGACAAAAATTAATAATGGTGAATGGTGATTATTAAAAGAATTAATTGAAAAGAGAACTGAACAAGAATCTCGTATTAATAATACAAATATTGCTCAACCAACATTATTTACTATACAAGTTGCATTAACAGTTTCATTTATTTCATGGAATATTTATCCATCATCTATAATATCACATAGTGCTGGTGATCAAGCAGCTGCTTTTGTTGCTGATCGTTTAAGTTTAGAAGAAGCTGTTCGTATGTTAGCTGTTTCAATGGGTGAAGAAGAAACAGAAAATAAACTTTTGAAAGGTATTGAACATCTGGCTTGTATTGCTGTTGTTAATAGTTCTCGTTCAGTGACAAGAAGTAGTGATGAAAAACAACAAATACTTTCAATCTCTTATCCAAATGTACTTGAAGCATGTGTTGGTATTGAAAATGCATTTCATCATATCAAATGAATCGATCTAATGTTAAAAAAGATATGTTATTATCATTAAAAAATACTCGTGAATATTCAATAAAAGATCAAAAAAAAAATTTAATTTGATATGTGCACAAGCAAAACTTTATTCAAGTGTTACTAATGATAATATGTCAGTTGATAGTCAAATGTAAGACAAACTGTTCGATTTTGTGATGCTATAACATTAATTATAAAAGATGAAGCAGCAAATGTTTTTCTTGAAATTTCACTACATCCAGTTTTAGCAAAATCAATTCGTGAATGTTATGAATTAACAAATCAACAACAATCATCACCACTTATTCTTCTAACATTAAAAAGAAAAGAAAATGAACAAATAATATTACTTACTAGTTTAGCACAACTTACAACACCATCTCATGTATGGAAACAATATTTTCATACTCGTCAAATTTTACCTATGAAAAATTATGAAGAATATTTTGATAATTTTCCATTATATAAATTTCATCTGAGTCCATGTTAATATGAATCAAAAGATTCATCTATACAATGTTTAGCTAATTGTATATCTACTCATCCATTGCTTGGTATTTGTCAATTCAATAATTAAACAAATGCAACATGGAAAAGTCTTATTAATATTAATTTACCACAACATTCTTTCTTAAAAGATCATCAAATTCAAGATGCAATTCTTTTCATGGCTGTTGCTTATTTTGAACTTGCAACAACTGCTTGTCATCAATTACTTTCATCAAAAGAAGATGATCAACAACAATCAATAATTATTTTTGAAGATATTAATTTTATTAAAGCACTTATTCTTAATGAACATGAATTGATGGAAGTATTTATGCACAAATAATTATGCCAATGCGTGAATGGTATATTATATTTTGTAATCAAGATAATCTTAATAAATATTCATTAAATCAATTTACTTTACATGCTCACGATAAAATTGATTCTGAACAACAAAATCATTAACAATACCTGACAGATGGACCATACAAGATATAACAAGTGCTTATATACATCTTTCAACACGTGCTTATCAATATGAATCCAGTTTTGAAAAAATAAAAACAGTACATGGTATTTCAACTACAGTTATATCTCAATTATTAGATGATAATAATGATTGCTCATTTTTGTTATTTACTGCATCCATATCTAGTTCTATTACCACGTGTTGAAACAACATTTCTTCCAGTACGTATTCAAAAATTTGTTTATTCAAGTAAGACAAAAACAAAAATGAATCAATCAACAAATGTTGAAGTATGTGGAATCTATCATAATAATATATGTGGTATAGGCCAAGAAGAAATATATAATCTTGATTTATGGACATTTCCAGTGGATAATAAAATCGAAGAACCAATATTTACATTTAAAAGTATTGTTATTCAACAAGTTCAAGGTATACAATCTGGTCGATGGTCAATCGAAAAAACAATTTATAATAAATGAAATCTAACAACTGATTTACCTACTACTGATCATAAAACATATCTAGATACAATTATAAAAAGATTATTGTATGAAAAGAGTATGAACTGATTCGCCAATAATAAAAGATATATCACATTTACTTCCATCACCTAACCAAATTCTTAATAATGAACTGAATTCTATTAGTAATCAAGATTTAATTGAATCAATAGAACCATTTAATGAATTAGCTGCTTACTATGCTCATATGGCAATTAAAGATCTTGATTTAAATCAGCAGCATCATCCATTATTAAATACATGTCATTCTCTTACTTCAATTTTACATTCGAAACAAATAATAACATGGCATTCAACACAATTTCATCTTATTCAATTAATTGAACATTTTCCTCATTTAAAACCATTTTTAATAATATTAAACAAATATGGTTCACATTTAAAAGATATTCTTAGTGGAGAAAAAAATGGATTAGATATATTTGTTGGTGATGAGGAAATTGGAGAAATTTTTTAACAAGTTAAATTTCTTCTAAGTGCAACTAAAACACAACAAATTTCTCATACTATTTGTCAACATTTACAATTACAATATGAACGACAAACGAAAGATGATAATTCATTTGAAAATTATCGATTACGTATATTCTGGTTAACTGATAGTCATTGTTCAGATGTTTTATCTATTCTTGATCTTCTTCTTAATTTATCACAACAAACAGGTTTATTGATTGATGTACATTATGCAGATTCTGATCCAACACAACTTGCAAATACTTAACAAACATTTAATACACATCTAACTAATCAAACAAAAAAGTTATCTATTATTTATGATGAAACAATTGATTTATATGATAGTAAAACACTTGAAAAAATACCATTCGAATCATTTGATATTATATTTTCTGCAAATCAACTTCAAGGAAATCAAGATTTAATAAATTTTTTAATTGCTCTTCGTCGTTTACTTGTTCCTAATGGTCTCCTTTTATTACTTGAATTAGTTCATATTCCACTATATTTTGATCTTATTTTTGGTTTTAATGATCAATGGTGGTCATCATCTGATGATGATAATTGTGCATTAAATAATATTCAACCATGGGTGATATTATTAAAACAAATCGAAGGATTTAATATTATTGAATCAACATTAAATCAAAATGAAAGTACATTAATTATTAGTCAAAAAACAACATCGAATGAAATATTACAAAGACTTGATGAAAGAAAAAATCAATCATGGTTAATATTTATTAAAGATGATAATAATAATATTCTATAGTCATTATTACCATGTTCAAATATTAAAATATTTCATATTCATAATTCAACTTTAGATATTATTTGTTTTGGAATATCAGTTTTATTAACTACTTATAAACAAGTATATATTATATTTGCATGGCAACTTGATCAAGTATTATCGAATGAAAATAATGACGATTTAGCATTGAAACAAAATGAAGAACTTCTATATGGATCATTATCACGTATTCTTCAAACAATTCAAAAATCATCATCACATTTTTATCCATTTGTATATTTTCTTACAGATCATGCCCAATTTAATAATGATTCTAATCTTAATATAATTCCATCACCATTTATTGGTCTTGAACGAAGTTTAATAACTGAATATGAATGACATCGATTGAAACTTATTGATTTTCAAACATCATTAAATAATAATAATCAATCAATATTTATTCATACTTTGTTAGAATATATGATTAATTCAAGTTGTTCTTCGTCTTAATGGTACAAATCAAAATCAAGTTCAACATTTAACATGACATGATGAAATGTTACAAAATAATGATGAACAAGAGAAATCTAAATACGAACAAATATCTATTATACCTAAACGAGATGCTGATCAAAAACCATTTCGTATTTGTGTACCACAATCTCGTTATCTTTCTGAATTAACATGAATTGAAGAAGATAGAGAAGAAGAATTATTATCATCATATATGGTAGACTGATTTCGCTGGATTTTGTTGATCATATATCATCTCTTATTCATATTATACTTGAAGAAACATTTGATCTATTTGTTCAACGTAAATTACGTGCTGTTGAACCAACAATTACTTATGAACCATCTCAAGTAATATAAGCATGATTAAGATGTAATAGTGGTCAAGTTATGGTTAAAACAGCTATTCGTATAATTTCATCTGATCAACCACCGAATATTAACAAAAACCAATCTGATAGTTTATTAAAAGGTAATCATATTTTATATATTTTTTTTCTTTTCTTTTCTTTTCGTTCTGCTTGGATCGCATCGAAATATTTATTCATACTCGAAAGAAAAGAGAAAAGAAAAAAAAGATATCCGTTGATATTTTTCACCTTTTCTCATAATTTTGCGGGTGGGTGTGGATGTATGTCTCTTCTTCTTTTACATTCATATCCACATCCACCCTCGATCCTAATAATAACGCTGACCGATACTTCTTTGTATTATATAGTCATATGTGATCAACTAGTATAGGGAAGAGATAAAGTAAAAGAATAGAAATAAAAACACTTCGTTAGTCTTACTACTGGACCTAAACTCAAATTCAAATCTAAACTGTCAACCCGTTGAGGTTTGAATTTGAGTTTGGTGCATGTCTATCCAGAGCTACATCTTCACCTACTCTTTTATGTGAATCCACTGTGTAGTAATAGGATATATCTATCACCGATGTGTGTTTTTTATTCTCTTCTTAATTTTTGTCTTCTCTTTTAATAATTGCGATAAGAATAATTCAGGAAAACAATTTAACAAATATTCGTTTAATTAAATGTATCAGATAATGATGTCATGAACTCGATATGAAGATTTTTAGTGTTTGATTTATTTCATAAGAGATAATGAGTAATTGCTGATATAATACTGATAGTTAATCGTCTCGAGGATGAGTATATATTGTCTTTACTATCTATTTGACATTGATATCAAAAGAAAATTGTTATTTTCTAACGAATTCTTCAATATTTCGATATGAAACTAAATAGAATGAGCGTAAATCAATGATAAGAATGATCAATACTTGATAAAAGTTCGAAGAATATTTTCAAATAAAAGAAAAGCTCAATAAAAATATTAAATCTTAGATGAAGAGTTTTTTCGTTTGTTCTTCTTCGATATTTCTATTTAAACATAATTTCTATTAATAACTATACCGAAAATATGAAAATATTTATGTAGTTATTTCTGAATAGATTTATCAAGGATAAGAAAAATAACAACTAATACAGAACGTAAGAAAAAAAAACATTTCGTTGCAAATATCGTTATTTGGACAACGAAGAAAAGTAGGAGAAATACAATTAAGTGTCGTCGAAGAAATGAAGAACATGAAAATGAATAATGCATAAAATGAATGTTTCTCTATAGAAATATTTTATTATTATAGAAATTCGGTATAAACGATTGTTTTCAAGCAAAAATTCTTTTTTCTATTGATTTTTAAAGATTTACATACTTTTTTAGTAAGATTTTTATTAAAAAGAATCAATTTATATTCTTTTCTTTTAACATAAAATAATAATACTAAGAAAGTTAAATGAACTGAATAATTATTTTACAATAACAAAACATTTTTATGTAACAATTCCTAATTAAAAATCTCTTTCTAAATCAATATACGAATGAATCGCAAAATTCTTCTATTGTTTTATGAAAAACTTTTCATCTCATTGTTAATATATTGTACAGTATTGTATTAAAGGAAAATATGTTTCATTTTTTCTAATTATTACTCTTGAATTATCTAACATATGAGATATTTTTTTAAGAATCCAAATTAAAAATTTGAGATTAAACTATATTGATTAGCACCGAACACATCTAATGCTGAATTTTTTCACCTGATTTTTAATCTAAATCTATAATCTTGCTTGTGTAATAAGAAATTTCTTCGTCGATTGCAATTGACATTAGTTATAAGAAAGCTATTCCATATACTCAAAATCAGTAATTAATCACTAATGATTTTCTTCCTCATTTTTAACGATAAATTATGCGATTATTTACACGTGAACTTTTATTTTACTGTTAAATTTAGAAGATCTTGTTACTGATTTAATTATTTGATCAATGTTTTTGTTATAAAATTGAACGTTCACATTAATTTCTACGTAGAAACTATGTAACTAAATAGATAAATAAGAACTCTACATGCAGTTTGATATAATGAGAAAAAATAAATTTGAAAAAAACATCAGTGAGAGGCGGAGTTATATATTAATATAGAATCATCTAAAATAAACTACGCGTTGTTCCAAAGAAACGTTTTAAAACGAATGATTGTGATGACGACGCTTATAGTACGATCATCTTTGGAACTATCCAATGTCATTCATGCCATAGTAGTCATATTCATGATAAAACTAATCTTCTTTCTGTTTCAAATATCTGTAATTATATTTCACTCTTTAAATTATAAATTCTTAAATAATAAATTTGTAGTTTATAATTGATTACTAAAATCGATGATTAAACATGATTTTCATGACATAGGATGTAACGATGAAACTCGTCGGAGATTTTTATAGGATTTATTTTCTAATGGTGATAATATGAACAATAGTTAAATAGAATGAATAATGTTTCAAGTCAAGCTGTAATATTTTAAGAGAATTAGAAATTAAAAAAATCTTGCGTAATATTTCGTGTAATACTAATAATTTTTTTATTTATTTTATTTAAGTGAAAACTCGAATAACTTTTTCATTGTCTTTTATGAATATATGTCGAAGTTATTTTTTATTTAACAGAATAGGAGCTGAAGGATTGACGGTAAATATAATGTATCAACAAACAATTAATTAGAAATATTTTCTTAAAGTATATATTAAAAATAAATAATCATTTTTTATCTTTGATTTCTATACAATATGAAAAGGTCGATATATGTGCGCAGATAAAAATCAATATTGATTTCATTTCGAAAGAAAAAAAGATATCTTACAAATGATGTGGTTGAAACGAAAAAGATGGATTTGATATTAGAATAGATCTTTTCAAATACATCATATTTACACTTATCGTTAATCATACCCGTCTATTATCATAGAAGTTAGATAAAACAAATGTAAGTTAGTAGTGTTTAAAATAAAAATTTGAAATAAATAAGCATCATTATCTCTTTTTATTTTCATGATAACTTAACAATTATTAGAATATAAGGCGAAGATTTCTTGACTAAATCATTTATTAAATCAGTTTTGAGTCAATAAATAACTCACACTTATTATTTTATTCTTTGCGAAGTTAAAAAATCTCAAATTAAGTTATAGCATTACCGATCATTTGTAACAGATCGCTGAATTGCAGATGATTTTGATTATAAAGAAGAATAATGTCACTGAACAAGTCATTACAAAATCCAAATAGTTAAAAAATCTAAGATAATTGATTCTATATTGCAAAATAAATGAACAAAGATTTTGATTGTATTTAAAAATTGACTTGATTTTTCTTCCATAAATAAAATCGATAAAAAAAACATTATTTTTCTCTTTTCTTTTCATGACTTATCTATCCGTCTTGGTTCATTGGTTTTCTTGACCACATATGATTTTTAGTAAGAGCAATCAGCGATAATATTAAAATATAAACGTAAGGAAGAGTGGCCTTATAGATGGTTGTTTGACAGAACAGGAAAAAACGATAATTGTAAGCGTTAGCAATATCTTTTTGTCGTCATGAAAAAAATAACAAAGCGCAACCACGTGGAAAAAAACGTGTCTCTTAGAATATTTTCAAATATCTAAATAGAACGACTTTTACGTAGGAAACCATCTCTTAAACTTATCTTACAATTACGATTAAAGACTGAAAAATAAAATATTTCTATTGTGATATTTGAGAAACGAAGAATAGAGTTAAGTTTATTCTGATAAAGAAAACATTTCATTTCAAGTTGGTATTAATAGAAAATAAGATAAAGAAGAATTTGATTATTTTAATTTTATCTTATATCTTAAATAACTATTTAAACATTTCGAGAGACTCAAATGCTTTTTATTTAACATTTTATTTTATATTTGGAGATTTTTGGAATAAAATACTTTAATTATTCTCATTTAAAAATTCTTAATAGTAACTTTTAAGATGATCGAATTGGAAAACATTTTCTATATGATATTACACTAATCGACGTTCTTGTCCTCTTCTTTCCAGATTCTTGTTTTTCTTGCTTTTCAGGCAAAATTCTTTTTCTATTCTTTACATGCAAGATTCTTGCCTTTCTTGTGAGATTCGTGTAGACCGAATCTTGTCTGATGAGGCAAGAAATTCTTCTCCAGACAGATTCTTGTTCTCTTACTTTCTTGCCTGATTCTTGTTTTCCTTGAATTCTTGCCTGATTCTAATCATATCAAAAAAAGCCTTTTTTAGGTTATTACTACCTTTTTCATATCGTTTTATTATAAGGATTTCACACCATGTACAAAAAAATATGAAAGAACAAAAAAATACTTTAATTTTCACATATTCATAAAGTAGTTTTAATTTTTAACACAAAAAAAATAAAAAAATTTTTTTATTATTTATTCTCTTAAAATTTTACCTATACGAAGAGAATTATCAAACAATAGTTTTTTAAATAAATCCATATTTTCTTCGTCTATTATATGTAATACTTTTATCAATAGTGAAAAATCTAGAAAAAAAATAAAATATATAGATATGAATTAGACAGATATCAAAATGTGGTCAATAAGGATTGCCTTCAGTAAACAATGAGAAAATGGATATCATATATTCCATTGTTTTCTTGATATGAAATAAACTTTTACTATACATCCAATTAAAACAATAACTTACTAGATGTCGTTTGAATTAAATAAACGCTTCAGAAAAAGAAAATAATCTAAGTAAATTTGCACTATACTTATCGAGCCAATAATAATTATGAATAAATAACGGTCAGCTAATGCTTTTATATATACGATAAACAAAGACCACATCACGTGCCGTTCATCTTGGAAAGCTGGCAAGAATCTGTTTCCTTTTCTATTACAAGAATCTTGTCTGAATATTAAGAAACTTAAAATATCTTGTGTTTCTTTTCAGATTCTTTTTGTCTTGAACTTTAGTCAAGATTCTTTTTAAAGGGAAGAAAAAGATTCTTGTCTGAATATTAAATATACCTTGAATATCTTATAATTCTTGCCTGATTCTTTTATTTCTGATTGTTCAGACAAGATTCTTGTCTACTGGAAATTCTTGTGAGATTCTTTTTTACTTTCCTGTGAAAAAGAATCTTGCCTGAACACAAGAAGCTTGTCTGAAAAGCAAGAAAAGCAAGAACCTGGAAAGAAGAGGACAAGAACGTCGACTAGTGTAAACTATTAGCAGAAATGAATTTAAATTACGTAGTCGAATATGGAGCCAACTTCACCTACGTGATCTTATTATTATTGCTCTTTATCAGATATATATTCGATTTTTTTATTAACCCTTTCGGGACCAACTTTTTTTTTATCTTTTTAATGATCGGTGTATCATTTTATAACTATCTATCTTGATGGCAACCTCAGAAAAAAAAATTTTGTTTTTTGAAAAAGCTGGGGTCCCCCCCCAGAGACGGTGGCACATATTTGTACCACCTACCCTGTGGGTTTTTCAAAAAAAATTTTTTTTTTCCTGAGGTTAGATAGTTATAAAATGATACACCGATCATTAAAAAGATGAAAAAAAAGTTGGTCCCGAAAGGGTTAATAAAGAACATTTTCTCAATATATAGAGTGATAGAAGAAAAAATTCAATATTCTCTTTCTCGTAGACAAGAGTCTTGCAAACATATATTGTCAAAATTTCTTACAAAAAGTAGGTTTCTCTGAGCGATTAGCAACTCTTGTTGAAAGAAAGCGATCTTAAAAAACAGAAGCTTTGATCTGCTATAGGAATCTTTCACTTAAAACTATTTTGATAAATTACAATTCGAAACCATTAAGTTTTTGTATAGAATTTTGACAAAATACCTTAGCTGGACATGATTTTATAATATAAATTCTTATTAAGCTTTACAAATGAAACTGCAATACTAAGGTTTTTCGTGAAAAATTCTATAGTAATTCTTTTGATTTCGAGATTTGAATTTTTAAAGTAACTTAATATTTTATAAAAATAGACTTAGTTCCTTTGAAACGGACTCTTTAAAATAGAATTATTGATTGTTCAAGTAGAGAAAGCATACTAAAAATTATTTTCACATTATTTATAAAACTGTTTTTTTCGATACAAAAAAAATAAAGTCTCTTTAGTAGCATAGAAATTGAAAATGGTAAGGTGTTTTCGTATCTACTTCAAGATTATATAAATATGAATCGTTAGAAATTCATTAATCTTCGCACTGGAGTAAGATAAGAAGAATCCTGTTGTCAGGCTATTTCACCATTTTATAACCACTGTATGCACAATAATTTACAATAACTTGTTATTTCAAAGATATCCTTCATAAATACGATTAATAGGAAACAGTATCAGTATTATTCTACATTTCCTTATGATAATACGTTATTTGTTGTAGAAATCTTTTTTTGTAAAAATCTATACTAATTAGTTAACTTATTAACAACATTAAATTAATATTTTTTTTATTATTTAATATAATATCATAGCTACTCAATCAATTCTTTTGTTTCATTCTGCAGTACTATTAGAAGATTGTACATTGGTTTATTGTACTTTTGATAATAATATCACTCTCATATGATGTGATTACTAGTGTTATTTCATATTTTGAAACATTTATTTAGTTTTTCTCATTATCTTCGTTTTAATTTGTAGATTCTATAACGCTTCTTATTTTATACTATTGATTTCTTTCTTTATTATACAATGCTTTCACGCAAGCGTATCATAGCAGGAACAAATGTACATAAGGAACTGGAACTTACGACTTCAGGACGAACAGAAGCTGTTGCTTCATTTGTTCAACAACGAATTTGGCTTCTTCTTCAGACCTGCCTGTTTACAATATTTTGGTACCATTGATAATCAAACAAGGTTCGCTATCAATCATTACCCTATGATCGACATCGTCTCTCAAATGAACATCGAAGTGGTCGTGGAATATCAATCTCATTTGATTTTGGTCAAGATCTTTCATTTGATTTTGTTAACTATGCATTAACAAACAATATAGAACCTCAACATCTAGCACTTGCCGCTTATTATATGTTTTTATTTAAATTAACTAATGGAGAAAGAGATATATAAATTGGAATGAATACACATACTCGATATAAAGATAAACTTAAATCAATAATTGGATTATATGAAAATCTTATTCTATTGCGATGTCAATTAGATCGTCATGGTTCATTTCATGGACTAGTTGAATATGTTCAAGAAATGGCAACAAATTGTATGAAATATTCATATTTTCCTCTTCAACAGATTCTTGCACAACATTCCGATTGTTCAAAGCCTACATTTCTTGATATATCTTTTGATTTTGTTACTATTGAAAAGAAAATAATGATTGGTAATAGTGCGCTTTGTAGTATTCCATTATCAATTACAATGGATGAAGATGAAGATGTAAACAAGTTTGATTTCATTCTTACTATTCAATATGATCTCAACATAAGTCAATTCTCATGTACAATTAATGCATCACTCGATTTATTCATTCAGGAGACAATAAATAAGATTTCACAACAATTTCATTCAATATTATATGACTTGTTTACATCTGTTAATCATATAATATTACCAAATGAAAGATTACTTATACAATCAATGAAGAATACACAAGTATTATTTCCTTCTGCCACTTGTATGCATCATGAATTTATTTATCAAGTAATACAACATCCACAAAAAGTAACTGTTGAACTTGATGAACAATCATTAACATATACAGAATTTTTATATTATGTTCAACAATTTTCTCTCGTATTATTAAATAAATACAACGTAAAATCGAGTGATATTATTTGTCAATGTGTAGAGCAAAGTTTATTTATGGTAAATATATTTAAAAAATATGGTTTGTAATAATATGTGTATAATATATCCGTTATTTCTCTTTAGGCCATTGGCATTTTATCAATTATTATGGCTGGTGGTGCCTATTGTCCTTTATCATCACAAGATCCTTCACAACGTCTACAAATTCTTGTGAAAGAAACTCAAAGTAATTTAGTTCTTGTTGATTCGTCTACACGCATTCTTTTTGAAATCGATATTGTAACTTTAAATATTGAAACAATTATAAATAATGAAGCAAATTCTACTAGTATTCAGCTGAATCAAATGTCAGATGTACCAATAGCATCAGAAAATATTCTCTTTGTAATTTTTACTAGTGGATCAACTGGTATTCCGAAAGCGGTTTGTATAATTTTTTTGACTATATGTATTTTTTAATATATTCATGTTTTATTAGGTTCAATTGCATCATCGAAATTTCACTCAATTTTTACGCTCATTTGTTTATGTTGATATATTAACAAAAATTGATACAATAATACAGATGGCTCGATGCTCATTTGATAATCATCTATTAAGTCTTGTTGGTACATTAACTATTGGAGCTACATTAGTAATGCTTCGACCAGAAGGTCATATGGATTTAGATTATGTTGCACGAGTATTGGATGAAAAACAGATTACTGTTATGCAAGCTGTTCCATCTTTATGGAATAGTCTGTTTAATTTTCTCAATACTACTAATCGAAAATCGTCAGTACAATGGTTGCGAACTGTATGAAGTGGTGGTAAGTCATTCTTGTTATATTATTATCATATTCTTTTTGACTTATTCTATGATTAGGTGAAGTTCTCAACAATAAACTAGTTAATCTATTGAAAAGCCAAGTGAGAAATGAATGTCAAATTCGAAATCATTATGATCCAGCTGTACTTATTATTAATTGTACCAATCATCTAATTGATCTAAATAAAGATCAAACAAATATTCCCATAGGTCGATCTCTTCCTAATTATAAATTTTTAATATTAGACATATTTTTACAAACTGTTGGTATTGGACAAGAAGGAGAATTAGTTGTTGGAGGTGTTGGTGTTTTTGCTGGATATCGTGGTCGTGATGATTTAACAGCTCAAGTAATGATTAATATTAATGAGCAAATATTTTATAAAACAGGTGATCTTGTTCAAATGGATAGCAATGGATTGATTCATTATGTTGGTCGAAGAGATTTTCAAGTGAAATTACGTGGACAACGTATTGAATTACAAGAAATTGTACAATGTTTACGTATGTTAATATCTATTACTACATGTGTTGTTATCAAATGGGATGATAATCATCTTATTGCTTATGTTCAAAGTGATAACATTAATGTTGAACAATTACATTATCATTGTCAATCTAATCTACCATCACATATGATTCCATCAATATTTGTTATACTTGAAAAATTACCTTTGAGTCCAAATGGAAAAGTAGATCGAAAACGCCTTTCACCTCCAGATTTATCATTATTGACTCTCTCATCAACATCATCATCAACAACAACAGCATTAGAAAATAGATATAATCTTCCACAAAATCAATTACAAAAACAGATACATGATATTTGGTGTGAAATTCTTCGATGTATTGGACAACACATTTTAACAACTGCAAATTTCTTTAGTATTGGTGGTCATTCACTTTTATTTATTGAACTTCATCATCGATATCAACAATTGTATGATTTTGATAATCGTGTACTTTCTATTGCCTTATTTCTTCAACATTCACAATTACTTAAATCTATTACAATCAATCAAATGAAATCAGAACATTGGCAAACACTACATATCAATCAAGGTATTGCATCTTTTGCTCAAGAACGTATTTTTCTTGATGAACAAATACGTTTTTCTAATAAAATTGCTATCTATAATGAATTGACTGCTTTAGAAATTATTCAAGGTTCAATATCAATAAATCGTCTATTAGAAGCTATTGAATATATTTTAAATAAACATAAAATATTACGCACATTTCTTACTCTCAACTATGATAATGGTATTCTTGAACAACATATTGGTGATAAACATCATATATTTCAAATTGTTCCCAATCAAACAATTATCAGTCCTAATTTATTTGATATATCAACTGGTCGTGTTTTTCATTGTGAAGTACTTCGACAAGAACTCATATCTGATAATAATAATACTAGATTCATTACAGATTCTGATATTCTTCTTATCGCATTTCATCATGCTGCAACAGATCGGTCAGCTTATCAACTTTTTCTAAATGATCTTTGTTTTGCTTATAATATAAATGTGAAATGGACAGATGATGAAGATTTATTACAATATATTGATTATTCTGTTCATGAACGTTTAATTGATATGAAACCATCACGTGATTTTTGGCTTCTAGAATTGAAAGATTATTATTTTGAACATCGATTATCATTATCGACTGATCAACATTGTTTATCTAATGATCAACGATCTGGTTTTGCTTCAATTGCTCAGATTTCTTTTGATGAAAATATTTCAAAATCATTTCTTAATTATGTTTCTACACATCAAACTATTCCATTTCTATTAGGTCTGAGTATATTATATGTTTTTCGTTTCAAATTAACGCATGGCGAAAATGATTTATGCATTTCTTTTCTTAATGCGAATCGATACAGAAGTGAATTACAAAATATAATGGGAATGTTCGTTTTAGCACTTTCATGTCGTATGCAGATTAATTTTCATTTACCGTTTGATGAACTTGTTAAATGTGTACAAGAAAAATGTATATCAATTCTTGAACATTCTCATTATCCATTATAAAATATTCTAACTGATATTCATGCTAATCAATCTCATGTTGCTTTTCTTCGAACAGTATTTGATTTTATTACTCGATCTCCTGATATTGATCAATTATCTTTAGATAATGTCAATTTAAAACCAATTGAATTAAAACAATCCATTGAAATTGCTAAATTTGATTTTGCATTAACATTTATTTATAATCCAAAGTTAAATGATGAGATGTTATCATGTCGTTTTGTTTGTTCACATGATCTATTCGAAGATATGACAGTTACAAAAATTGCTCGACGATTTCAATATCTTATTGAACAACTATTTTCAATGGATTCTAATATTAATCAAACTGATATTCTTGTTGTACCTATTACTAAACTTAGTCTTATTTTACCAGAAGAAGTTTATGAAATGGAACGAATAGTTTTTTGTCGACAACCAGATATTATAAATGAAGGTATGTATGTCTTTAATATATTTGAGAAAATTATTAGACGATAGAAATATACGGGTACAGGATTCACACCTACATCTTTACTCATCCCCATCAAAATTAAGTATATTCATCTTTTAATGTTCTTATTATTATTATATAGCACCAGCATCATATGCTCAAGCACGTATTTGGCTTGATGAACGAATTCGTATTGATTCAAAAAATTCACAAGTTGCCATATATAATATGCCTTTTCTTCATCGACTTTCATCGGGTGGTACTCTATCAATATCTGAACTTCGTCAAGCTTTACAACATGTTCTTATAAAACAATCTGCTCTTCGTACATCACTCTATTTTGATACAAATAAAAATATATTGATGCAAAAGATTATTGATCATACTGATAACAAAGAATTATTTACATTTATTGAAAGTACTTTCGAAACAGATGAAGATCTCAATAAAATTATGCATAATGAACGTGGGAATCCAAATAATTTTAATCTATTAACTGGTGTTGTTTGTCGATGTCATGTTCTTTATTATAAAAACATTTCTCAAAAAGGAATCATTTGTGAAAAAGATGTACTAATCTTTAATTTTCATCATGCTCTATCTGATTTTCCATCAATGAAAATGTTTCGTCAAGATCTTGATCAAGCATATACAATGGGTTACTTGGAAAATGATAATAATACAACTTTGCGTTATCTTGATTGTATGTTAAGCCAAAAGTCAATATGATGTCATCATAACAAAAGATGCATATGTAGTTTTAATTTACCTTGATGCTCGTCTTCATCATTATGATTGTTGACTTGAAGGAAAATTTTCTTTATCAGATTTATTATATAAAAATTCAAATAATTATATTTGAGAAATAATTGGTCAATTAATTTCTAATAGTTCATCTGTACTTAATCAATGTCAAGGTGATAAACTTACAATTGCTTATGGTTCAATATTAATTCAATCAATACTTGTTTATTATTAACAAATATTTGAACAAAGTTCTTTTACACTTGAATGGACAAGAAATTTTCTACAAATTGCTTTAAGTATAATGAAAAATTTAATTGAAATGACATTTCCAACACATTCATCATTAGTAACAAAATTATTAAATAAATTATTTCAACAAATATCATCAAAAAGTACAATTAAATTAAATGAATATCAATTTAATCTTCAATGGTTTTCGTCAAAATATTTAAAAATAAATTTTTATTTTAATGATTATCCATCAAAACAAAAAACTCTTCAATATCAATTCTATCTTTTTACAGAACAATTAAATACATAATGGCATGATAAATCAGAAAATATTTTTCGAAAATTAAATATTTCATTAATTAATGATAGTATTCATTTATTAAAAGAACATTTACCACCTATTTTATATTTACTATCAATTAAAGATTTTTAACAAAATTTTATTAGTATTGCTCTTTATCAGGTATATATTCGATTTTTTCTATTAATAGAGAATATCTTCTCAGGGTGTGGGCGTGAAGGTGTGAATTTGTTTTCTCTACTTCTACTTACACTCGCATCCACATCCATCCGTCTTTTATCTCTGCACTCTCCCTCGTCCGAATCTTTGTTTTCATGAAAAACGACATAGTCCTAGTGGCTACGATTGTACTACTATGTTCTAATTATAGTATGTTACTTTTTAGATAGTTACATAGAAATAACATTATGGAGTTTCAGCAGGCTATGAATGCTGTTGACACTTGTCCTGACATAGTTGATGTCCTGATTGTTGGTGCTGGATTTGGTGGATTGTTTATGTTGCATAATTTACGAGAACATGGATTCACAGCAAAAATCGTTGAGGCCAGTGACGGAATTGGCGGTACTTGGTACTGGAATCGCTATCCTGGCGCTCGATGTGATGTTGAGAGTATGCAATATTCATATTCTTTTTCTGACGAGCTGCAACAGGAATGGCATTGGTCAGAACGCTTTGCTGCGCAACCGGAAATCTTGCGTTATCTGAACTACGTTGCGGACAAATTTGAACTGCGCAAAGATATTATGCTGAGCACTCGTGTGATTTCTACTATTTTCGATGAGACGCTTTTACATTGGGAAATTAAAACAAATCGCCATGAACGTTTGTTGTCCAAGTTCTGTGTTATGGCAACAGGTTGTCTTTCCGTTCCGAAGATACCTGATATAAAAGGACTCGATAACTTTAAAGGTAATATCTATAGCACTAGTAATTGGCCGCATGAGAATGTGGACTTTACAAACCGTCGTGTAGCCGTTATCGGAACCGGACCATCTGGTGTGCAATGTATTCCAATCATCACTAAACAGGCTGCTCATGTTTATGTATACCAGAGAACACCCAACTATTGTATTCCGTTGAATAATGATCCACTTGATCCGCAAGAGGAACAATGGTGGAAGACAAATTATGCCCAACTTCGACGTGATATGATGCGAACAAGTGGTGCCCTTTTGCTTCATGATACCCGAAACTGTCCTGCATTGAGTGTAACATCGAAAGAAAGAGAGAAAATATATGAATCGGCATGGAAGAAAGGTGGAAACGCATTTAGACTACCTTTTAATGATCTCTATATCAACAAAGAAGCCAATGAAACAGTATCAAATTTTATCAAGTCTAAGATACACGCAACTGTCAACGACCCTACTATTGCCAGACTCTTATTACCATATAATCATCTCTTTGGTATTAGACGTCTCTGTAGGGGCACTGATTATTATGAAACATTTAATCGCGATAATATTACACTTATTGATCTTCGTTACAGAGGCATCGATGAAATTCAGACAACACGAGTTCGAGTGGGGAATAAGATCTATGAAGTAGATGATATCGTCCTTGCACTTGGATTCGATGCCTTCACTGGTGCATTGCTCAATATGGATATTCGCGGTCGATTAGGCAAGACTCTTCAAGAAAAATGGAAAAATGGATGGCGTACTTATCTAGGTCTGATGATCGCCGACTTTCCAAACTTATTTACAATTACTGGTCCCGGTTCTCCATCTGACTTAGCTAATATGGTTCCACATATCGAACAACATGTTAAATGGATAACAAAATGTTTGGAATATCTACGAACGCATCATATTAATATGATAGAACCTACTCTAGAGGCAGAGAATACTTGGTTTGAACATGTAAATGATGTTGTCGAAAATACTCTTTTTCGAACATCCAAGTCAATCTACAACGGAGCAAATATATCCGGAAAACCACGAGTCTTTATACCTTATGTAGGAGGTTTTGATATTTATATGGAAAAGTGCGAAAATGTCGCCATAAATGACTATGAAGGTTTCCACCTGATGAAGTAACTACGATCATCACAGCATGGGTGATGCAAAACATTTGCATTAATTTTATTTTTAATGTAATTTCGTGATAGAATATCGTGCAGTTCTGATTTTCTTGTTTCATTAGATACGATTGTCGAGGAGACCGATTATTTTTGCTTTATTCTTTTCAGATAATTCTATTTCTCATAGTACTTGTTTATTAAGCTTCTGTTACTTAACAAATTCTAAAACAAAATGTCAACAATAATGGAAATGGCTTTATTACAAAAGGTTCAAGAACAAGAAATGATGTCTTTACCAGCATCATTAGCTATTCCTACTGCTGGGAGTTCGCAAGGTGCTGCATCTTTCGGACAAGAACGGATATGGCTCGACGAAAAGATCCATCACGACCCATCAATATCACCTGCCACGCATAATTTTGTTCTACCTTTGGTCATTAAGCATGGCTCAATGTTAATCGAACGCATTCGTTCGGCCGTTGTTGCTGTTCTTGAACAGCATGAAATACTTCGAACAGCAATTTACTTCGATGAAAATCGTAATATGTTGGTCCAAGCAGTACAATCTGTGGTCAACAATGACGCTTACTCGTTTGAAATAACAGCAAACGATATACAAGGTCTTGATGAAGTTGCTGATCTACTTAGGAATGAATCGGTCAAGCATTTTGCTGAATTGGAACATGGTTTAGTTGTTCGTTGTCATCTAGTTAAGGTGGGCTCTGACAATGATATGGACAAATTATATCCTCAAGATCTGGTTATTTTCATATTTCATGGTGTAGCATTCGATTATAATTCTATTGGTCCGTTCCTTGCTGCCTTTACCAAATCATACAATCAGATTCAGTTGGATGTTGAAAGGTTACAATATATCAGTTTCAGTGTATATGAGCGTCAACAATTCGTTAATATCCCCGAAGACTCACAAATACGAAGAGCTGAGCAGTTTTGGTCAAAAATGATGGATGACTACAGCCTTGATGCAAACTATCCGACACCATTTACGCGCCCATTCGACACAAAAAAGCGTACTGGAGAAGGGCATAGTACATCGTTTATACTGGATTCGATACTTGTCGACGCTCAAATGAAATTTGCATCGTTGCATAATTTGTCTATGTCTCATACAGCATTAGCGTGCTTCTTTCTCTTTATTTATGAACTCAATGATGGTACTATTAGTGACTTGTGTGTGACCTATCCAACAGAAAAGCGATCATTGGTTGATACAAAATGCATGATCGGTACGTTTGCGAATTTATTACCATATCGTATCAAAATTAATGCAAATGAAAGTTTTATTAACTTGGTGCAGCGAATTTGTCAACTGGACATGGACATCCTTGATCACTATCAACTACCTTATCAACAGATCATCAGGGGTAATAAGGAGTTATGTTCAAGCAAGATTCCATTTCATTTTCAATATGAAGAGATTCACTCTTTTTCAACTAGTGAAATGAACTCGATAGCCAAGACAAATGATGCGATATTAAATTTATATACTGAACAACCTTGGCTATATGGCAATGGTATTGCTTCTTATGATATAAATTTAAAAATGATTCACAATCAGCTCAGCCAAACAACTCTTTGTGTTTTGGAATGTAGTGCTGATTGTTACGATGAAATGATGGTGTCCAACATTAGTCGATATTTTCAGAATCTACTTTTACATATCTTTACTGAAAACACGAAAACCATTGGATTCGACCCAGTTTTTGAAAAAATTGGAAACCTTTCTCTTTTACCAATGAACGTTGAAAATTTATCAAACGTCATCGAATCACTACGACATTTCTCCGAAATAAGTAAGTGCTTCGAAGAAAACTCGTTTCTAATTATTCTTTACATATTTGCATGAACTAGAGCTCTTACATAATGAGTAACTTGTAGAAATATTCTAAACTCCTTTGAACATAAAAATGTATAACTTCGACTATTTGCGAGACATTCGAGTACTTAACTATGAAAATAAACATAATAAGTGAGTAAGAATAATATGTAACTATCATAGAACCAGCTTCATATTCTCAACAACAAATATGGTTCGATGAAGAACGTCGATTGCATTTGGATGGACCGCAATTGGCAACATACAATACAGTATTCTGCTATCGTCTCTCAACGGATCATACCTTGTCTGTTCAGCGGCTTCGTTATGCACTTCATCTTGTTGTAGACAAACATCAATCTCTGAGAACGTTATTTATTTTTGATACTACAAAAAACATTCTCACACAACGAATTGTTGACCAACAGAATCATAAAAACAATTGGTTTTCTATAGTAGAAAGCATTTATGAAACAGATGAACAATTGCACGAAATTATCTACAATGAGACACATAATCCTCATCTTTTCGATCTTGCTCAAGGTCTTGTCTTCCGATGGCATCTTGTTCGTTATAAACAGGTTTTTACCAATGATCTTATCTGCAATAACGATATCATTATCTTCAACTTTCATCATGCCTCGTTCGACTGTCCATCAATGAAGATATTTCTCCATGATCTTCATCAAGCATACACCACAAGTCAGCTACCCAATGATGACAGTACCAACAGACCTCGTTATCTCGACTGTAAATATTCATACTTCTCTCTTCATAATCATATCATGTCTTTCTCTTTTCTATAGATGCTATCATTGAACAACACGTACCTATGATTGGTGCAAGCATGTTCTGGCATGATGTTCTGCATGATTACAAACTAGACCAATCTCTCTCATTGCCATATGATCGATATCGACTTACGACTGAATATCGATCCGGTTTTGGAACATCTATTTCATTCGATTTAGATCGAGATCTTTGTGACACTTTCCTCCACTACGCATCTTCACAAAACATCTCAGTTGAACATCTGGCGTCGACTATGTATTTTGTCTTTCTATTTAAACTGACGAATGGAAACACAGATCTATGCATCGGAATGAACGTAGATGGTCGATACAGAGACGAACTTAGATCAGTGATTGGTATGTTTGCCAATGTTATTCCCTTGCGATGTCAACTAGATCCACAATGGTTTCTACATAAACTTGTTAAACATGTTCAAGAGATACTAACAAATAGTTGCAAATACTCTTATTTTCCTCTTCAACGTCTCCTAGATCAACATCTGCATGCTTCGAATCCTGCATTTCTCGATACATCATTCGAGTTCATGCGATATTCACCACAAGATCCCGGCAAAGACATGATTATAGGTGGTAGTCATCTCTCTGTAGTGCCTATTTCAAACAAGATTAGTGAATATGACATAATGAGCAAGTTTGACGTCTTTCTTAGTATTCAGCATGACGTCGATATGAATCACCTCTCTTGTACAATCAATGCATCACTTGATTCGTTCAATAGAGAGACAGTAGGGAAGATTTCACAACGATTTCATTCCATCGTACAACACTTATCTGCATCCATTATTGACAATCAAATGAACAAACCTCTCTATGAATTATCATTAACATTATCAAATGAACAATATCTAATGCAATCATTGAATAATACACAAACATCATTTTCGTCTGCTCCTTCCACTTGTATTCATCATGAGTTTGTATATCAAGTAATGAAACACCCACAGAAACTAGCAGTTGAACTAGATGAACAATCATTGACATATTGTGAACTGTTGTGTTATGTTCAAGTATTATCTTTCACTCTTCTTAATGAATATCATGTGTTGCCGGGTGACATTGTGTGTCAATGTGTTGAGCGAAGTTTGTCAATGGTAAATAGCTTCAGAAGATTCTTTGTTAAAACGATGTCATGTGTAAAATGTTTCTCTTAGGTCATTGGTATTTTATCAATAGCCATGGTTGGTAGTGCTTATTGTCCGTTATCGTTACGAGATCCTCCACAACGTCTACAAGCTCTTGTCAATCAGACTCAGAGTCGTCTAGTTTTGGTTCATGCCAGTACACCAACGGTTTTCAGTCTCGACAATCCAACTCTAAACATTGACTGTGTTATTCGTCTCGAAGAAAGATTTAGTGAAGTTAATCTGAATGAACTTTCAAATGTTCCTGTAACATCAGAAAATGTTGTCTTCGTAATTTTTACAAGCGGTTCAACTGGTACTCCAAAAGCGGTTTATATAATAACTATTTCTTTTGATGTATTGTCTAACGCTTTTTTTCTTATAATAGGTTCAACTGCGTCATCGAAACTTCATTGAATTTATGCATTCATTTGTGAATATTGATGTAGTAACAAAGTCTGATACAATAATACAGATGGCTCGATGCTCTTTTGACAATCACCTGCTAAGCTTAGTAGGTACTTTGGTTATTGGTAGTACATTAGTGATGCTTCGACTGGAAGGCAATATGGATTTAGAATACCTTGCTAGAGTCCTCGATCAAAAGCAGATTACTGTCATGCATGCTGTTCCGTCGCTTCTCAACAGTTTATTTGAATTTCTCACAATAAGTAAGCGTATGTCAGCAGTAAAATATTTACGATCTTTATGCAGTGGTGGTTAGTACTTGTTTTTTGAATAATTAAAGTGTCAACGATTTCTTTGAATTAATTGGTTGTAGGCGAAGCTATTAATCCTAAGCAAGTTAGTCTATTTCAAAATTTAGTTGGAGAGCAAGGCCGAATTCGAAATCATTATGGCCCAGCCGAAATCACGATCAATTGTGCTTGTTATTTAATTGATCGAAGCAAAAGTCAGGCAAACATTCCTATAGGTCACCTTCTACCTAACTATCAATGTCTGATTTTGAACGAATTTTCGCAGTTTGTCTGTATTGGCCATGAAGGAGAATTGGTAGTGAGTGGTGTAGGTATCTTTGCTGGATATTTTAATCGTGATGACTTGACGGCAAAGGCAATGATCAATATCAACGGGAGAATGTACTATAAAACAGATGATCTTGTCAGAATGGATAACAATGGTCTTCTTCATTATCAAGGAAGAAGAGATCATCAAATTAAGTTACGTGGGCAAAGAATTGAACTTGGTGAAATTGAACGCTGTTTACTTAACATTACATCTATTT